CCTACAAGGGGAACGTTTTCTTTTAGCAAGTTAGACTGATAGCCCAAGTTAGGGGAGGGCTAAGATATGGGTTGGTGGTTTCCCAGGCTTTTTTGGGTCCCTCAATATGGTATAGGAAGAGCAGAAAGGTCAAAACCATGCGAAGGATGTAACCCGAAGCAGCCATCATTTACCCCCCCCCCCCCTTGGGGACCCTCCAATCATGGACTTTTCCAAGAATGGACTCTCACCTGTACATGCATGCCTGGGCAGCCACCGCATAGTTAGTTAGGAAAAGACTGTGAAGCACTTCTAGGCTGTTTTGTTAAATGTGTTTAGTAAAAGTTATTAACTGTTTAATTGGCTGGTCTGAAATAATTAAAATGAGTGCATGGATGTTCCTGGCATTTTGAAAGAACAGGGCCTGTAGAACACACATGGAGGTATGGAAGAAAGGCCACTACAGAGAGTTAGCTCATCAGAAGAATCAGAGAAAAAGAGCAATTGCCACTAATAACCAAAAGCTGGTGGGAAGTGAACAGCAGCCGTAAGCTTGGTACCTGGAATGGGCAACGGGTCCTCCAATAGGGGGATGGTGTTCTGGCTCTCTCCCTAGCAGTTGTTTCCCCCCCAAGAGTGCCTGGGACTGAACGCTTGGTACGGACAGCCCACATACCCAGCCATGAGGTACAGGAGCGTAAACGGAGCTAAATTTAAGTACACATATGAGGTCCTCGCTAGTGCACAGTGGGCGCCGATTCTGTCACAGAGAGTGAGGTGAGAGAGGTACGCTGGACTGGTGTAAAAAGGGCATAAGCTCAGAATTGTCCCTGCTAAATGCAAGAATTTACATGCAAGGTGTGTCGTAACATAGGACAGCATGTTTTACAGAGACTCTGTGTATTCAACTACTATACATGGTGTACGGCTCGCCTCTAAGTTGGGGTACTACCCTAATGTTAATTTCACATGAACCCAGCCCCACCTAGTCCTGAGCATTGCCGAGCATGCACACACACGAAAGGTACCCCCATGTGAAGAGCGAGTAGGCCCCACCCACAAAATGTTTAGATGCATTTACATGTGTTTAGCTACATCAAGCATTTTTTCTGCTCAAAACGCCTCTCCTGAGCGCACTTTTGATGTTTTGTTTTTTGTTTAATACGCCTGTATGAACACATACAGTAAGCTAACATAGAGGTGCTTTTACAGGCTGAAAAAAGTAAAATGCCTATAAAAAGCAGCATTTTTAAGTCCAGTGTGTATGAGGACTTATACAGGCATTCAGCATTTGTTTTATGCCTGTAAAAGCACCTTTATGTTAGCCTATGTCTCCATGCACACATAGGTGTTTACATGCATATTTGAAGAGAAGTGTTTACAGGCAGAGAAATTAACTCATCAAAGGCATGTTCAGGGAAGAGCTTTTGAGCAGAAAAAACTTGCATATGTGCATAAACGCATCTAAATGTGCATGTATGTACCTAAATGTATTCCAAAGGTCAGAATAATATTAAATCTTCTATGCTAAGAAATATTGTGCTCTGAGCTTTCTGATCTTTCTCTATCCACTCATTTGAAGGGCGTTCTGGCCTGACTTCATTTATACCACCATTCTTGCCCCCCAAATGAAGATTATTATTTGGTTAGTTGAAACGCGATAGAGTTTACGCAGCAAGATTTAACTGTCCAAGAAATTCTATTGTGAAGTTTATTGTACATATCTTCCTACCATGGATATGGGGTATCAGCATGTATCACATTATAGTTGGATTTTTTGCAAGAGCTCTTGAGTGTTTTTAGAATGTGTTGTGTGCTAATACTTTTTAATAATAATATTAATAACGTTTTTTGTCATTTTATATAAAACAATCTTTTTCACAATTTGGCTGCATTAAATGTCCCAGTGGGAGAGTAAATAAAACAGATTGGAAAAGAAACACAAAGCAGGCTAAATTCATCTAATGGCATGCTGCATCCACCCATATACAGTTGCAAGAAAAAGTATGTGAACCCCTTGGGATTACGTGGAGTTTTGCATGAATTGGGCATAAAATGTGCTCTGAACGTCATCTAAGTCACAACAATAGAAGAACACAGTCTGCTGAACATAATACTACACAAACATTAGATGTTGCCATGGTTTAATTGCACATAACATGTAAACATTCACAGTGCAGGGAGGAAAAAGTATGTGAGGCCCTAGCTTAATGACTTCTCCCAGAGCTAATTGGAGCCAGGAGTGAGCCAACCTTGACTCCAATCAGTATGATGATATTGGATGTGTTGCTGACAGCTGTCCTGCCCTTAAAAAACACACACCTGTTTTGGGTTTACTGGTTTCAGGGAAGCACTGTCTGATGTGAACCATGCCTTGCAGAAAAGAGCTATCAGAAGACCTACGACCAAGAATTGACTTGCATGAAGCTGGAAAGGGTTACAAAAGTATCTCCAAAAGCCTTGATGTTCATGTGTCCACGGTAAGACAGACTGTCTACAAATGGAGAAAGTTTAGCACTGTTGCTACTCTCCTTAGGCGTGGTCGTCCTGTAAAAATGACTGCAAGAGCACAGCGCAAAATGCTGCATGAGGTAAAGAAGAATCCCAGAGTGTCAGCTAAAGACCTACAGAAATCTCTGGCACATGCTAACATTTTTGTTGACACATCTACAATAAGGAAAACATTAAACAAGAATGGAGTACATGGGAGGACACCACGGAGGAAGCCATTGCTGTCCAAAAAGAATATTGCAGCACGTTTGAAGTTTGCAAAAGAGCACCTGGATGTTCCACAGCACTACTGGCAAAATATACTGTGGACAGATGAAACCAAGATTGAGTTGTTTGGGAAGAACACACAACACTATGTGTGGAGAAAAAAAGGCACAGCACACCAACATCAAAACCTCATCCTCACAGTAAAACATGGCGGAGGGAGCATCATGGTTTGGGGCTGCTTTGCTGCCTCAGGGCCTGGACAGATTGTTGTCATTGATGGGAAAATGAATTCCAGAGTTTATCAAGACATTTTGCAGGAAAATGTACGACCATCTGTCCGCCAACTGAAGCTCCGCAGAGGATGTGTCAGGAATGGACTGGCCAGCAATGGTGGGACTCACCTGCCTTTTGATCTGCAGTACCAGGGCTGGCCAGCGGATGCTCCCAGCAATCAGAGACTCAACTTTGCAGCCAGCTAACACCTGGAACTGATTATGCTGGGGTATTTAAGGGATGGCCAGACCCACAGACTCTGCCTTGGTGTTGTGTTTGTCCTGGGCCCTGTATCCTGTATCTGTCCTGCATCCTGTTTCTGAACCGCTGCTGACTTCTCCTGCTCTGATCCCGGCTCGCTCCTGACCATCCCTCTGCCTGACCCTCTGTACCACGCTGCTTGCTACCTGTTCTGATCCCTGGCTTGTGACCCTGACCATCCCTCTGCCTGACCCTCTGTACTACGCTGCTTGCTACCTGCTGAACCTGGCCTGTGACCCCGACCAATCTCCGCTTGCTCCCCCTGTACCTACCTGCCCTATTGATATTGACCCGGCCTGCCTGACGACGCTTGCTTGTATGTACTGTTATCTGTGGGTGGTTGGTTTTTGGTTTGGTTTGGTTGCACTGTATTATGTTTTAGTATTGCACTGCGTTTATGTTTGTATTGTTAGTGTTAATAAATTATATTGTTTATAACATACCTGAGGTCTGCGTTTCCCTGCGTCAGCCACACACCTCTGGTCACACCTGGGAGCCCTGACATTACACCAAGGCCAATCCTGACCAGAAGTGGCTGCACAGGGAAGCCATCTTGGCTTGTTGCTGGGAAGGATGGATCTGGATGAGGTTGTGTATTTATATCTGCTAGTGTTTGATGACAGGGAGTATGCTTATCAAACTCTGAAGGAGTATCCCAGGGATCAACTACTAGAATGTATACGGCTCGCTCATGTTCTAGTAGATCAGGGCACAGAGTTCTCTGAGGTGCAGCCTTTGATTGAGGTTTGTGCTGAGTTGGTTTCATCTGGTTCCCCCGAATGCAGGGATGAATTTTTGCCACCATTTAGTGCAGACCAGGTAGAGTCCCTGGTGTGGTTATTAGAGGATGATGTGGGTTACTTTCTGGAGCGTTATTCCACATGTTCACCACAGACACTAAGAGATTGTATAAACGCAGTGCAGTCATTGACCAGACAGGCTTTGTGTAAGCTCAGCTTTGTTCAACCCCTACTGCAGACATGGACAGACTTGTTGCACCCAGCCTCAGTCAGCTTACAAAAACCCAGTCCTGCTTCTAACTCTACTCCTGTATTCCCACCAGCTCCTCCAGTTACAGCCCAGTATACTTGGCTATCTACCGCATGTCAGTCCCCTGTTCCCACTCGCTGCACCTATCCTGCCTTTAACCCTGTAAAAAAGCCCTCTGTAGCAACTGCTCCCTCTCCTGTTCCATCCTCCAGTTTTTCTCTGTCTCCAGCTGCTCCATTCGTTTGCAGACCTGCGTTTACTTGCAGTGCTCCAGTAGTTAAAACCAGAAAAAAGCGAAAATTCTTTCCAACCAATACCATCCTGCCAGTATCTAAAAACGGTGAACGTGCCTTCCGTGACTCAGCCTGAAGCCTCTACTCAGCCGGATGCCTCTACTCAGCCGGATGCCTCTACTCAGCCGGATGCCTCTACTCAGCCGGATGCCTCTCTTCAGCCTGATGCCTCTCTTCAGCCTGATGCCTCTCTTCAGCCTGATGCCTCTCTTCAGCCTGATGCCTCTACTCAGCCTGATGCCTCTACTCAGCCTGATGCCTCTACTCAGCCTGAAGCCTCTACTCAGCCTGAAGCCTCTACTTAGCCTGAAGCCTCTACTCAGCCTGAAGCCTGCATTCAGCCTGATGCCGCTACTCAGCATGATGAACTGATCCAGCCCGACGATCCTATTAGGCCAGTTGACTCGATGCCCGCTGTTGATCCAGATGATCCGGTACCTGATCCAGTGCCCGCTGTCGTGCCAATTGACTCAGAGCCCGCTGTCATACCTGGTGACCCGGTGCCCACTGCCTTGCCAGATGACGCGGTGCCCGCTGGCAAGCCAAATGACCTGATGCCTGGTGACCCGCTGTCATACCTGGTGACCCGATGCCCGCTGTCGAGCCAGACAATCCGATACCTGATGACCCGGTGCCCACTGTCGTGCCTGTTGACTCGGAGCCCACTGTCTTGCCAGACGACACGGTGCCCGCAGTCTTGCCAGACGACTCGAAGCCTGCTGTTCCGCCAGTTGGCTCGGTGCCCGCAGTCTTGCCAGATGACTCGGTGCCCACTGTCGTGCCTGGTGACTCGGTGCCCGCCGCTTCATCTGGGGGCCCGAGACCTGTTGCTCCGCCTGAGGGCCCGAGGCCTGTCGCTCCATCTGGGGGTCCGGCGCCCGCCGCTCCGCCTGAGGGCCCGAGACCTGTCGCTCCATCTGGGGGTCCGGCGCCCGCCGCTCCGCCTGAGGGCCCGAGACCTGTCGCTCCATCTGGGGGTCCGGCGCCCGCCGCTCCGCCTGAGGGCCCGAGACCTGTCGCTCCATCTGGGGGTCCGGCGCCCGCCGCTCCGCCTGAGGGTCCGAGACCTGTCGCTCCATCTGGGGGTCCGGCGCCCGCCGCACCACCTGAGGGCCCGAGACCTGTCGCTCCATCTGGGGGTCCGGCGCCCGCCGCTCCGCCTGAGGGCCCGAAACCTGTAGTTCCGCCTGGGGGTCCGGCGCCCGCCGCTCCGCCCGGGGGCCCGAGAGGCCTGTCGCCCCGCCCGGGGGCCTGAGGCCTGCCGCACCGCCCGGGGGCCGGTGCCTGCCGCCCCGCCCGGGGGCCCGGTGCCTGCCGCCCCACCCGGGGGCCCGCTGCCTGCCGCTTCGCCTGGTAGCCCGATGTGCCTCTGCCCGGAGTCCAGCCCGATGTGCCTCTGCCCGGAGTCCAGCCCGATGTGCCTCTGCCCGGAGTCCAGCCCGATGTGCCTCTGCCCGGAGTCCAGCCCGATGTGCTTCTGCCCGGAGTCCAGCCCGATGTGCCTCTGCCCGGAGTCCAGCCCGATGTGCCTCTGCCCAGAGTCCAGCCCGATGTGCCTCTGCCCGGAGTCCAGCCCAATGTGCCTCTGCCCGGAGTCCAGCCCGATGTGCCTCTGCCCGCTGTGCCTCTGCCCGGTGTGCCTCTGCCCGGAGTCCAGCCCGGTGTGCCTCTGCCCGGAGTCCAGCCCGGTGTGCCTCTGCCCGGAGTCCAGCCCGGTGTGCCTCTGCCCGGAGTCCAGCCCGGTGTGCCCTCTGCCCGGAGTCCAGCCCGGTGTGCCTCTGCCCGGTGTGCCTCTGCCCGGAGTCCAGCCCGATGTGCCTCTGCCCGGTGTGCCTCTGCCCGGAGTCCAGCCCGATGTGCCTCTGCCCGGTGTACCACTGCCCGGAGTCCTGCCCGGTGTGCCAGTCTTTGATATCCCGCCAGTTACCAGACCCGGGCGGTGGAACATTTTTCCCAGCTAGGACTGTTTAGAGCGTCCTGAGGCCGCTCCTTGAGGGGGGGGTACTGTCAGGAATGGACTGGCCAGCAATGGTGGGACTCACCTGCCTTTTGATCTGCAGTACCAGGGCTGGCCAGCGGATGCTCCCAGCAATCAGAGACTCAACTTTGCAGCCAGCTAACACCTGGAACTGATTATGCTGGGGTATTTAAGGGATGGCCAGACCCACAGACTCTGCCTTGGTGTTGTGTTTGTCCTGGGCCCTGTATCCTGTATCTGTCCTGCATCCTGTTTCTGAACCGCTGCTGACTTCTCCTGCTCTGATCCCGGCTCGCTCCTGACCATCCCTCTGCCTGACCCTCTGTACCATGCTGCTTGCTACCTGTTCTGATCCCTGGCTTGTGACCCTGACCATCCCTCTGCCTGACCCTCTGTACTACGCTGCTTGCTACCTGCTGAACCTGGCCTGTGACCCCGACCAATCTCCGCTTGCTCCCCCTGTACCTACCTGCCCTATTGATATTGACCCGGCCTGCCTGACGACGCTTGCTTGTATGTACTGTTATCTGTGGGTGGTTGGTTTGGTTTGGTTTGGTTGCACTGTATTATGTTTTAGTATTGCACTGCGTTTATGTTTGTATTGTTAGTGTTAATAAATTATATTGTTTATAACATACCTGAGGTCTGCGTTTCCCTGTGTCAGCCACACACCTCTGGTCACACCTGGGAGCCCTGACAGGATGGGTGATGCAACAGGACAATGACCCAAAGCATACAAGTAATTCAACAAAACAATGGCTGCAACAGCACAGAATACGCCTTCTGGAGTGGCCCAGTCAGAGTCCTGACCTCAACCCGATTCAAATGCTGTGGCATGACCTTAAGAGAGCGATTCACACCAGACATCCCAAGAATATTGCTACACTGAAACAGTTTTGTGAAGAGGAGTGGTCCAAAATTACTCCAGATCGTTGTGCAGGTCTGATCTGCAACTACAGGAAATGTTTGGTTGAGGTTATTGCTGCCAAAGGAGGGTCAACCAGTTATTAAGTCCAAAGGTTCACATACTTTTTCCTCCCTGTCGTGTGAATGTTTACATGTTATGTGCAATTAAACCATGGCAACATCTAATGTTTGTGTAGTATTATGTTCAGCAGACTGTGTTCTTCTATTGTTGTGACTTAGATGACGTTCAGAGCACATTTTATGCCCAATTCATGCAAAACTCCACGTAATCCCAAGGGGTTCACATACTGTTTCTTGCAACTGTATGTCTAGAACAGGGATCTCCAGACATTTTAAACAAAGGGCCAATTTACTGTCCTTCAGATTTTAGGGGAGCCAGACTGTGCCCGGTGGGTGTAAACAATACCCCGTCTTTAGTATTAGGAGGAGAAATAGTTTGTGTCAGTGGGAGGAATTGTGCCCCATTATTGGTGTCAGTGGGAGGAATAGTGCCCCACTGTAGGTTTCAGTGTCAGGAATTATGCCCCATTGTTGGTGTCAGTGGCCGGAATAATTCCTTAAGGGCCGCATAAAGGCAAGTAAAGGGCTGCATCTGGCCGCAGTTCGGTGACCACTGGTCTAGAACATCAATGTCTATTAAACTCTGCACTTTGCATTTAGATTGCTTTAGGACAGGGCTGTCAAACTGGCGGTCCTCCAGCTGTTGTGAAACTACAAGTCCTATCATGCCTCTGCCTTTGGCAGTCATGCTTGTAACTGTCAATCTTGCAATGCCTCATGGGACTTGTAGTTAGGCAACAGCTGGAGGGCCGCCAGTTTGACACCCGTGCATTAGGTAAATACTGTAATATCGCTCTTTCTAGACCTGGCAGCGTTTGGTCCCTTAGACTTATGCGGGTCAGGCTGATTTATTTGAAAGAGCCTCTTTTGATCTCAGTACACACTTAGTAGAGTTCTTCTTTAAATACTTCCATTAGAAAAGAACAAATAGAAATTCTAAATATGTACACTGAGCAACATAGAACCATCACTGTGTTCCTGGAGCCCCAAGCGGTACAAAGACCCAGAAGCCGTGTCTTTTTCAAGAGGAACAAAATGAGAAAAAAAAATTCCTTCATTTTGTCATTGTTTAGCAACAGAGATGCTGTAAATATTACCCATGTGGCAACGCTAGGATGCTTGTTTACTTGCAATTTAAATGATCGGGCCCAACCCTGACAAAACGAATGAAAGTGTTGTCATGGCAACGAGGACAATATACGTCTTTTTATTTCACAGCAAGCCGGCGAACATATGGTTTGGTTTTAATGGACGCTTGGCTCCCCATTATCATAATAGCAATGTAAGGAATCAGACGGAAAAAAGACAAGATCATATTCAAAACAAAAGATATAAAGAAAGAGAAATGTTAAACTCTCATGTGCCTCCCACTATTAATAGATTTGCAAGGAATAATACAATTCAATTCTACTTCTATAGATATGCAAAGCTTAACATTAGGTCAGAGTTCTGAACCAGCAGAGACATGACCTCAGCTCAACAACTGTGCGACCTTCATTACAAGAGAACCTATTTTACACCTTCATACATGTCCTCTCAAGCCAAGATCACACTAAGGTAATTAGCTGTAATTCATGCAGAAACCACTGACTCATTAACATTTATTTTTCAGTTCTGATTGATGACAATTGAGAACAACATTGCTATTTTTGCAGTTGTGACATTAGTGTTACAAAAGATGGTCTTCAAGCTGGACATAACGATGGACCTTCCATATCAGAGTGTCAAAGGCAACTGTGGAACATGGAAATGTGGGGCGTTATACAACTTTACCTTCTACGGGGGACTTAGAGTATATTGCTGATGGTCTAATTAGAAGTAATGGCTTTATCTTCTGGTAACAAAAGGGGCTGAGTGCATTAGAGCAAATATGTTTCTACTCATACACATAAAAATATTACTTCATGTTTAAGTTCAATTATAATCAGAGGAAAACACTGTGTGATCACGCTCAGTTGTGTAGCAGCTTTGTTTCTCTGAGTTTAAATGTTTAATTGAAGATAAATGTAACAGGTGTTTTTACCCCTACCATCTATATGTAAACATGAAATGCTGCGAACTGCATAATGTGTACAGTATAGCGGCTGCATAAACAAGATTACACTTCCACTTTTATACAGTTTATTGCTGGCCATACTCTCAAATGGTTTTTTTTTATTTCTTTATGCTGAAAACAGAGCTCAAGGCTTTACAGGATTTCCTATGCCCAAAAATGTCACAAGCTCGATTGGGACCAGTGTTGATGGGCTTTTGTTCGCACTAAAACTGCTTCTCTTTCCATATAAGTCAATGAGAATGCAAAAGCAGCTCAAAACAGGTTAGGGAAGGATAGATGTAAGTCAAATGCAGGTCAGGAGCACCAGAATGGAAGTACTGTGAGTTAACTCAGAAGCATCTCAAAGTGAACTTGTGCCCATTGACACAAACCCTAAGACTATCCATATAGCATCCTAGATTGTATACTGTACTAGTGGAGATCCACATTTCTGTTTAATGTATAATATATCTCTAGTCAAGACTTTTTTATGCTTTATTTTGGATACAGTAAAGAATGGTTAGATCCCCTGTCAAGGTTTTATTGCTACTTTTCCAGTAAGGGTCATGGGGACAATTAAAAGAGTAGTCAATCATTTTGATGGTCCAAAAATACCCCTTCATCATTCCTTGAGTTTGAAAACATTGTAAGTGGACTTGAAGGTAAGTGGACCATTAATGGTCTTCTAGGACCTTTAATTTCTTCCAGTGGTATTATCTCCACAAGTTTTGTCAGCTGCTGGTTTGGCAGCAAGGTCTGACAAGACCTGTGCAGATAACCACACTGGAAGAACTACCATTAAAGGTCCAGTTAACTCCTAGTCTATGAAGGAGGTGTTTTTGTATCTACCAAAAATAGTTTAGAACTTTGAGATAATAATAGCAATGTTGCTGCCAGTGCAAGTTTCAGTTCTGATTTTGCAGAGTTGTGTGCAATTCATGATCTTGAGGATCTGGCCTCTGAATCTGATCCTGGTGTCTTGAATATTCTGGCAGCAAAACCTCTATACCCTTCAAACTGAGATCTGATTTTTATCTGATTGGATCTTGAGGTAAAGACATGGATCAGTTCCAGAGGC